CTGCGTTTCGGCACTGATTTCCCGCATTTTTAACTAAAAAATAATTACGACAAGGTATATCAGGATGGAATTCTGATCTAAAAAGTGCCTTGAAAGGGAGGCATTGCATGAGATTGCATAACTAATGGAATCGGGATTGTACATAGTTGTCATAACACACTAAAGCCTGACTGCTTAAATGCTTATCGTAAATAGCGAAACTGGAGGTCCAGTTTGGTACAATCCTACCATTACTATGTATTTAGATGGCGCTATTAGATATCTATCCAAAAATTTCAAGGCTAACGTTATGCCACCTTTTTCCCAAAGCGTATATTAGTCTCTGGTGTATCTCAGTATCACTTTGCTTACGGCATTTCTTGCCTTATTCCATTGCGTTTTCTGTCAAGTAAAAACATTCACTACGAAGGCTCTTCTCTGTGCAATAAGTGCCGTGACTAGCCCCTTCACAGGCAGGCTGAAGAAACATCCCGCTTTATAAAGGTCAAGTATTTCGCGACTGAGGAGCCATGTTTATTGATGAGCATTTGTAACTCGCTTGGCTATTTAAAAACCCTTTTATTTGCCCTTCCCAAATCGCGCTGATGCAATGGCATTTCACAAGACCTATTCATTTGAGGTGCTTCATTTGGCCCAAATTGCTCGAATACAAGAGCATCAATTGGCGTTCAAAACCTGCTACTTACTTGTTTCAGTTTCTTGATGTCTTCGTCCAACTCAAGATTGTCCAAAATAACAGCGACAAAAAGGCTGAGAACGATCTAAAGGTGAGGCGATTGAGAGAGTGGCATAGTGAAAAGCTTTAGACAAGGCCGCAAATCAGTGAGGTGACGAACCAATGTGACAAAGAGGTGATAGAAGACAAAGTAAATTGCCACGCCGGTGGTCACCGCCGCCGAGTCTACTACGTCCATTGTGTCATGCATGACTGCAACCCAGCCCTTTTGCGTCAGGATTTGAAACATAGACATGAAGGCCTTAAAAAGACAAAACAAGGTTTATGGTCCATGAGTTCATAGGTTTCATGGTCAAGTAAGGTTTTATTCGACGTGGTTTTACAACTAAAAAAGTAATGATGATCAAATTTCGGGAGGAGACAAATAGGTTTGGGGATTAAAGGCCGTTAGAGGTAAGGTCAAACACCCAAAATCTAAGAATATTAACAAGTCCTCTAGTTATTTTAATTGCCAACATGCTCGCAATTTGTAACGATGCGCAGTATTGCTTAAAAGAACAGCACTTCAACATAAAACACTTTATTCACTCACCTGTTGCAGAAAACTACTCCTAATTTATACATTTGGTGCAGGCCTATCATTTGCGCGAAGCAAATGACACACAAATCACAACGACATTAAGGGAATGAATTTTTATTTCCCAATATTTACTTGCTTTACTTTAAAAAGGAGGTCGTCTGAAGCCAAAGGTGTGCAAAAGGGGGGTGCGCACGACCTCCCAACAGCGGCCTGACTGACGCAAATGTCAACACGTACAACTACACAGTTGCTCGCTTTGGAAATGGCCTCTACCGTTCACTCCACCACAAACACACGTTTCCCTTCGAGGAGTGGCCTTACAGAGGTCAGAAGAAAAAATGGCTTTTTCCCGGTCTATGCTGATCTACAAGGACGTACGCGTGACCGGAATGGATTCACGTAACTTTGTGTGGCGACTATTCAAACTCCACTAATCGTAGAAAAGCGTATACTTTTTTGGCCTACCTGGTCTTTTTTTTACCAAGCCATAAGGGTCGGAGAACAAGGATTTCGAGGACGACCATTATACTTTGCATGTAGGAGCAAACTGCGTTCAAAAACGGCTAAACGCTAAGAGGAGGATAAAATTTGGAGAAATAACAACTAAAGTGACAATAATTGCCAGCATCAAGGTCAGGTAACTCGGTTTGAATGGGCAATACATTTTACCAGAAATGGAAATATCTCATTTTAAGACAAAGCATCGCATGCATCCAATTAAACACGAACTATTATTTATACCAAACTATTATTTACATCCCCACAAATCATGTTATGAGCAAAGATTGAAAAGAGTGTACCTTTGGAAATGTCTCAAACCGATCAAACTCCTCATCAAAGGCCTGGAAGAAGCAGAACAATTGCAGACTAAATGTTGAGGTGATGACCAGCAGACAGGTGGTGAATAACACCAGGCTCCCCAGTTTTTTTCCAGGACCAAAGATCTACGAAGTGCAGGTAAATAAATGTAACTGCCAGAGTTACACGAGTAACCACATTTGGGATTGGGTGCCTATTAATCAAAGGGATTTTCACGGTGCGATTTTGCTTATGCTGGGTTTCATACTATGAAATATTCCACATTTTAAGATGTTTTCTACATCAAATATTGTCAGGATGCTTATTATCTTCTACGCATCACCGAGAGTATCATATTAAAGGAAGTCATTTATCATGTCCAAGAAGGGTACATGCAATTTCACATATTTAAGAGCTTAAAATAACACTTAAAACCACCGCGCATAGGATGACCAAAGACGAATTGCAAATTTAAAGATTATCTGTGTCGTCCTGCTACCTGGAACCCATCAAATAAACATGAGCTTACCTTGAAGCAAAAATCCTCCAGCATTGGAGAGGCCTTGATCAATCGCACTATCCTCATGACCTATGGAGGAACAGCCTCCCAGCTTATTGAAATGTAATAAAAATGAAAAGCTTACAAGAAAAGCACATCTACACTGCAAATATAACGCAAAAATTCAAAAATTTTGCCATAAAATAAAAGCTTGAAGTTATTGCCATATCAGTCCAGCTTCGATTCAGGCACTATATAGCGAAGCACCCAAACGTATAATCACAACTATTTGGTGCAGGCTGCGGACACACAAGTCTGCTTAAAGAAGTGTATCTAAGTTTCGTTTCTGTATGAGATTATGCATGTTTGTTAGAACATTTAAAATTTGACAATTTCGCCTAATGACGTTTGATATTTCTAGGAGGCTGAATTTACTGCCAGATAAGTGAGCTCCGTGCGGTAGAGCTGCGGAATGCAGTGGAGGGTGGTGCCGATGCAGAGCATCAGCTCAAACTTGAAGAGGGAACGAGACCAGTAAGTTCGCCACCCGAGGCACCAAATCTTAAAGGCGGCTTCCAGGTTGAACACCATTGTAAAACCCAACTAAAAGAATACAGAAGTTCAGTGAGAGAGGAGTTTCACATCTCCGGCCCAAGGCGTTTCCTTCACCACCACATAATTGTATACAATTATTATCTTGAAATTAAGTGCCAACTACACGAATGTGTTAACTCCATTCACCGTGTGGTTGAAAGTAATGCAAATTGGCTTGACAAAACAAGTAACAAAACCGGCTTTTAATGTTTGTCTGATAAGAACAAAGCGGGAACAGTCGAGATGCGACTACAATAGTTTCTGCCAATAGTTTATTAACCCTATGGGGTTATGGCCAACAGTTTGTTTTATGTGTTGGTTTGAAATGGGCACGAACCTAGTGGAATGCACAGTATTGGAAATGAGATCACCTCAGCAAAATAGAATCCGTCCATGTGGATCTGCCCATCAAAGTCATCGTGTCGCACGCGTTGATGATTGAAGTGCTGTCCCGCAGCAGTGATTGCATTGGCTAGCACCAAGAGCATAATGACTATGTTGAAGCCCGTCGACTTAAGGAGGGTCTATAGAGCATCGCAAAGAAGGAAATTTAGCAGCAATACGAAAAGCAACCGATGCTCATCCACTCGTTGAACACCTACCTCTTCGACAAATCGGGGAGCCAAACCACGCGATTTCCTCTCATGCACGGGAACCAGTTTCCAAGAAGTGCCATCAAATTGAAAAATCTGGAAGCCATTAAAATTAATTGCTCTTAAATTTTAAAACAGGCATAGTTTAAGGTTAGCTACCTACAATGATTTATTTCTGAGCTGATGTGGCTAGACTTGGGGCTGACAAATAACGCTCTTAACAAGGCCGCTTGTAATAAATAACTAATTAGTAGAGACCTACAATGAAAACCGCTGCTTATGAAACTTTTTTACTCCAACATCTAAATGTCTGGCATTTCAATTGGTGCTTACAGCGAACCTATGACCGAATATGTTTAGCTGTGATGATTTTCACTGAAATATTTACTTTGTCAATTTGCGCCTAAACCACCTTATTGTGGCTTGAAGAAAGCAAAATTGCTAAGAATTGGTCAGTGGCGCAAGGCCACATGTTTCGCATACCTTTGAGAAGTCCGTATCAGTGGCGATTCGGGGCGACCACATTTGTTGGAACTGGACACGAATCTCCGCAAATGTTTCCGTCAGCACGGCAATGAATACATTCTGCAAAAACAGACACCTTCGGTGAGTGGAAAACCGCAAACAGCTAGGAAGCAAGTACAGGGATTTATTTTTCTTACTTTAACGAGCCATGCCAGCATGAAAATCATCGTGATGAAGTAGACCACACCTTTCCAAGGGGCGAGGCAGTCCATCGCTCTGTACATTATGAAGACCCAGCCTTCCTGCGATGACGCTTGATACACGGTGAACATACTAATGTCTACGGGAAAGTGAAAGCTTTGCTCACCACTGTATTCCAAATTATTGACCAAATGCTCGGCTCTGTGGTCAAAATACAATATGGTACAGCGAAATCTTTAAGTGTTTATTAAAATACGCAGCAAAATATTGATATTGGAGGTCAAAAAAATGCATTTTAGGCGAATTCACCACAAATAATAATGGAACACTGACATTAAGTTGGTCGTACAATGTGTACCATGACAGCCAGGAGATAACTGAAAAAATCATGGTAAGTAACTTACGGAAGGCCTCGAAACTCGCATAGCTACCTTCGTCGGCGATGGAGGTACTTGCTCGGACACACTTCATGTTTTTTGGACACTGATTATCAGTTTCGGGTGCGAATGGATTACAATAAGAGTCCGGTATGGCCAGATCCGATTTCAACAGGTTACTGTGATATATAAATAGATTCAAATCAAATTAAAACTATGACTGTGCCAAGTAGACTAATATCTTATAAAGGCACAAAGGAAGTTTTTGTATACAATATGCTGGTGCTAGAAATTTTCCGTTTTGCATGGATACCTCTCGTTGGCACTCTTTGCTACACAGTGATAGTTCAGCTCGTCACCGAAGAACTGCACTCCAAGAAGCCCATACAGTGACATGAAGAAGAGCAAGAAGACACTGACATTGTAAATCTGGTGAGTTGACCGCCTTAAAATATACAAATAAAATATCCCATGGTTTAACAATGAATTATGAGTGTTACCATGCCAAAATTTCAGAGGATATACTCAAAGTCTGCTGTACCTTACATAACACAAATTTTTGTCAAATGGAATGATCCATCAACTGATAAGTGTAGTAGTCTTTTGATAGCGTAAAGATTAATAAAAGTTTCATGAGATGGCAGAAACATTAGTATCAAACCATTTACCGCCACAAAGAAGTATATCTGAGATTTTGGTTTTGTACTGAAGTCGTTGAAGGCTTATAAACCTGAATTGCCGAAGAACTATGGCAAATGCCGTTGAATTACAGTAAATTACAATTACGTGATGTGCCATTTTTACCCATTCTTTAGTGTAAATTTTACTACTAAGTTTAAGATAACCAGCAAGTTGCAGAACTTAAATATGCGAGTAAAGTTTTCTGTGGGTGTTAAATGCAAAATTCTAATTAGGTAAACTATGCATTTTCAGTGCGTGACAAAGGAGATCGCTTTACTGGAAGATGGCGTTGACACGGGCCGGGGGCAGTTGGAGCTTGAGTACAGCGCGGAATACGCGGATGAGGATGAGAGGACGAGGACAGCGCACTACGCTGAGCCAGCCGTACTGGCGCCAGAACTTCTGCTCCTCCTCGCCCGTACGCCAAGTGGCGCGCAGCTCAAAGCACTGCAGCACTATGGAGGCCCACAGGCAGAAAACCATGAAGGCGTCGAAGCAATTCCACGACTGCTGGAAGTATGCCCGGTTACGACGTGACGAGGACTCCACATTCACACCCATGGACTGTGCATGTCGTAGCACATGCGAGAACGAGAAAAAGAGGGGGGACCGGAAACATTTCAAACAAGACAATAAGGGGGAAAGATGGAAGGAAATAGGGAGAGGTGCATGCGTCAAACCGATACTACTTTCGGTACAAGCGCAGGAAATCAAAGCAACATCAGAAAACTTAGGTGAGGATGCTCTACATTGACTTTAACACCATGCAGTGGTGGGATATTTCGAAGAACTACTTCACGGAAAACCTGAATGGGATTAACACTGAACTACTAGCCACTTATAAATATAGTAAAATTAAATAAAATTTGTGGTTTTGATGACAAATTGTGCTTTGCAACCTAAGTTCCACCCCTAATCGGATTTTGAGTATATGAGTAAAAGGGTTGCTGAGTATGATGGCGTGTACTATGGATTTACTTACCAATAAAGTAATCAATTTGAACGCTTCACATCAAATGAGATATTGTGAAATTTTTGACTGCATATTTTAGTCATTCAGTCACTCAGTAAATTACTAAAACCCTCGGAAAGGCATACAGTAACGTGTTAGTACGAAAATAGGCAAAACCCTCAATACGTGTAAGCAGTTATGCCGAACAAAAGATACCTTAAAAAACCTAATTCTGCAATACCCAATAAGCCCACTTGATTTTGGATAGTTTCAAACTTTCATGAAAATGCCAAGAGTCTTACGACAGTTAGAGCAAAGCCAGACATGCAGGAGTTATATTTTGGGTATTAAGCATGAAACCAAAAGGTAAATGGAAAATAAGGGTAGTTACCAAAGTGTGCAAAGCATACAAAAGATTATAAAAAGGAACACATTTAAAAGACCTAGATACTATAGAAAACCAAAATTCACGCATCAGTGAGAACTCAAAATAAAATCGGATTCGAGCAATATCTAATTGTCGGTCTTACCTTAGCTGCAATTTGCTTTTTGATAAGCTGATTTAGATCCTGCATTAAGCAAATTATGGGATTGAAAATAACAATTAGTTTCACAACTAACCTATATTCTAATGGGATTCGGTTAAACACTAACAAATAAGCATGCATTCTATCTGTTTTTGATAAATTAAGGTCTCAAGCCAAGGTGATATCTTAAAAACTAAGCGAAACGATTCGAATATCATAAAATATTACGTAGCTTGGATATACGGCATACCTGATTTGTTGAAGGCGCAACCAAACCTTGAATGCACATCTTCGTGATCATTTCAACGGTTAATAAGCAAGCCACCATAATATCGACTGCAAACGTAACGTACATTAGGGACGGTACATATTCAAACGTCTTCGGTGTATTTGCGCTTACAGATATCAAACTTATCAGTGCAGCAGATCGTAGTGCCATCCTAATAAGTAAAAGAAGTCAAGTACACTCTCAGGACAAAAGATCTGTTAAGGAACACAAAACAAAACGTGAAAATGGCAACTGACAATGTGTTTGCCAATTTATCCATTGAAAAAAGTAAAACCTGAAACCCATCAACGTCATGAAGGACTTCCAGTGGTGCCCTCAGCTTAAAAGCAAGTTTGCTTAATAATAGCAAAAATTTAACCAATATGCTGACCCAAATATATCCTCCAGGGCAATTCTTCGTCTTAAAATGGGAGCCACTTAGCACATAAATTAGCGTTTAAGTAAAAGATTGGGGTGAAAGTGGAGGAATATATCCGCTTTGGGGAAAGATTATCAGAGCCCTCAAATTCCTCTAAAAGGCTGTGTCAAGAAACAATCTACATCTTTCAAAGATTTGGAAATGGTTTTAAAAAAGACTAATGACATTTCACTACTTTCCATTCTATCAAAATCAGTCGTGAGACATCAAATTAAGTAGTAATTTTTAGTAAAGAATTGTCAATGAATTTGCAATGAAGGATTCATTTGTAGTGTGATTAATAATTTTAGAAATACGTAGATTAGCCGTTTTGTATGGGCCTGGAGTATCGAAAACTTACTTTGCCCAGTGTGTATAAACCCAACGTAGTGAATGCAGCTCAACCTCGTCAGTAGGAAAATTAAGTCCAGGGAGAATCGGCAGAGTTTCCCTAGGACGACTCGCATCTTTGTTCAACTTAAACATGCTAAGGCGTTACATCAACCCCAAAAGTTGCCTGTGCAAATTACCAACAACTGAATTTTCTTCAAGGTCAACAGTGTGTGGCATTTTGGTAAATTTAAAGAGCCTCCCCAAAGGGCATAAATATGCAAAATATTTGGCTATGTTGTCTTTCACAACAGTAAAATATTGCTTATTTTAAAGCCACCTTATATGTTCATAAAATCACTAAAGGGTCTGCAGTGAGTCTCAGAAACTCATAAATAATGAATAGTGGCATTCATTATCATTATTCATTTGTAACACCCCAAAGCTTCTCTGAAGATAAAAAGATTACATAACACTCGGACTAAATACATAGATTTGATATACAAAAGGTACTGGGTCTAACTGGCATCCCCCGAAGGCCAGCTCACCCAGCTAGGTACCATGG